GGTTTGTAGCCCTTGTCTAATAAGGTTTACATTCAAAGCTGTTTGGGTATTGTGTGGTCAACAGCCCTGTGATAATCCAGTGATAGAGGTGAGCACATGTGAATAGGGCGGGACTCTGTGGGGGAGGGTAAGGGGAGATGGGGTGGGGGCAGAGAGAACAAACATACAAGAAAGGGTAGAGCCCTCCTCCAAACATGATCAACCTCCTCCCTACTTACTCTGCCACGTGAGCGTGTCACCCGAGCAGATATGTAGGAGACAATGTCACAACCCAGCCTCAAGTTACCAACAGTCCTTTACAACCATATTGTGTGGTTACGTTAAATATGGCCTTTTGTCATGGAGCACTGGAGGTAAATGAAGACCAGTGGTTGATACTATACAGTCCTGATTTTCCTCAGAGCCTACAAAACAACTGTAACATTTCACAGTTTGTGTTTATAAGAACTAGAAAAATATTTTGAGAAATCAACAATGCAATATATATTGGCAAATGGGAATGATTTACAACACCAAACACAATATCTCTTCTTAGTGTACAAGTTCAAAATCAAACATTTCTAAAATGTATAATCAACAAAATTCCTGCTTAGCTACATTTTTACATGTACCATTATTTACATTGATGTAAAAGGAAAAGCATGGACTTTAAGACATGTTTGTATTGGTTATTGTTTTGCCATAGCCATAATGATAGTGATTTGTTGTCCAATTGAGAGATTGTAAGTTGCCAGTAGGACCTCATACCTGCTGACCAAGCTTTGTCCCAGTAGGAGTCAGTCACCCCTGGACCATGGGTCACCACAGGTCAAAACAACATACAGTGGTTCTGATTAGATGTCCAACAACAGCCAAACTACTGCATTGGTACCAGAAGGACTGTGGGGCTGATCCGTAACAAAAACTCACTTCTGGTAAGACTATGACCATTTTATTTAGATCTAAACAACCATGAGGCAATATGAAATAATATTCAAAGTTAGAAGAGAAACCCTTTAAAAATGGATGTTGTGGTACCAATGGCATAACCTTACTGGTGTTGGTCCATCATTTTGGTTCTTCTTTGATATGAGGGAATTACATAGTCAGGCCATAGTGTTCTGTCCATTGACATTGATTAAGGTAAGGGTGGCTTTTTGCAATATGGATGGATGGCAAAATTCATCAACCTAAAAAGGCTATTTAAGAAGCAGATTTTAAGTTCCTTGTTTGCTTAATAGATGATGCTTAAATTAAGTTTGATCTTAAGTCATTAGAAGAAAAGATGAGACACAGACTTTGACAAACTCACAGTTGTTTTTAAAGCTCATTGAAGTTAAATAACAAAGGGATTTGCTGACGACCTGTTGATAATTGACAGTAGTGTTTGCTGTGACTGTTGTCAAATATTTGTATGTCAGCCAGACTGACTCCTAAATGTCCAACATGTCTAAAAAGTTAAAAGTGGTAGATTTAAGTGTTGTTTGTTATGTCCTTACATCCTTTTAAGAGGTGCCAAATCTTCTGGGCATTATAAATTGTTTTTTGTTCAATCAGATCTTTTCCATTCTGTCAGGCAAATGTGGCATCTAAGTACATTGTAATCTTGTTATCTGCAAATTATGGTCTGGCCATTTTGTTGTTGGGAGTTACTACACTTATTTGGAATTTATTACATAATATTGTACAGGGAGTTTACGTTCTAGTAGTTTGATACAGATTAGAATGGTATGTTGCTGCATATCTGCTTCCCCGTTAGGTAGATATGTATGGTGGTTGTTTGCCAGATTTGAAGTTTTCAATTTCATCATTTAGAAACTATGGCAGCCATATTCTTATATGAAAATACTGGTCCATATGCTCAGGTAAATATGTTCTAACCTTGTATGGGCAATTTCTGTATGATTTACATCAAATAAGAAAATCCAAATAGAATAAAACAGTAGATGATAGACTAGAATGCTAGAGAATAGACTAACTTTGGTGCTGTTTACCTCCAAGCAGATGCTATGGTGGAAAATTGTAATGCTTGTAGCTGGTCAGCAGACTTTCTACTCCAATATCTGCTTGGAGATTAAGTTATGCTGCTACCTTTCCTTTGCACCAGAGGTAGCATATTGTGCCTTTTATCAATCCATTAGGGTCTTATGCCTTCAGACAGCTCATACAATACTGTCTATCCAGGCTGACAGCTCCTTTTGTCTGGTTAGTGTTGGGGGAACACTTAAAAATGCTCCATCTTACTGGCCGCCTGTCCTGGGGGATTTTACTGCATAGGGGTGTTGTCAAAACCATGAGATAAAAATCAATGTGAGCTACCTTTGTGTAACATGTTTTTGACATGTGGTACAGCATTAAATCATAACTATAGTTCATTATATTCTTCTTGTCTGATCGTCAAGATAAACAGTTGTACATTCTTTAACATTTAATGCTGTATGAGTGCTGTTTTACATCATACATGTACTCAAAATGTACTGCATGTGACATTTGGAGGCCTGATCCTTCAAACATCATTACAGTCTATGCCTGTCTTAGAAAAACTTTGGTGAAACTTTGAAGTCCACAGTTTTCAACCACTTTGTGATGATGAGCTGTGCCAAGAAGGTTAAATTTTAACTTTTTTTTTAAGCCTTCTTGGTTGTGCTAAGGCACAGGGGCATTCTCCACATTTTTACTGGAACTGACAAATGTGAGGAAATTTGCTGTGCACAACACCTTGTGGCCAGAGTGGCACACTTACCCATGCCTGGAATGTTGAGCCTTTCTGTCCAGCACCACTCTCTGATTTCACAGATAAGCTATCACAACCCAGTCTTGTGCTCACCAGATAATGGGCCACATGAAGGAAAGGGGGTCAGGCATTAAGGGGTCAGGAACACTCTTATACCATTCAGGTCCACTGGATCAGTCTGGCCCATTCTGGACCATAATGGCTTAAATCCATCACTATGTATACAGACCCACAATGTAGCATTCACTGGCTTACTGCACTTAAAGTAACTCTTTTCTCCATGGTCTGTCACCTTTGCAACAAACCTGGAACCACATCAGTACAATGAATTCCTTCTTCAAACAACTGTTCTAACTTTAGAGCTTGGTGTATGTTATGAGCCTAATTTTAGAAGTTAGAAGTGGTCTAGTGAGCTATTTTTCCTCACAACTGTTGTCAAGGAAAGCTAAATGTTGATTCAGTTTTTTTTGTGTTGCAGTTTGTTGTGGTATTGTTACCTTGACCAAAAGAGGCATATTTTAGCCAATTATTTCAATTTGTTGCAAATCTTATTTCTTCATTATCATATCAGGAAAATGTTGCGTCAAAGTCTTCAGTTTTGATACATATGCACATATGTGAGTCACTTAGATTACTGATAAAAGTGGGGAAATGATTCTATTGTATTAAAGTATTGTGCTTTTAGAGGTTCAAAGCCCAGTTGCATTTGGAAACATGTTAATCTATTACTAGTTAATATTAGTATATAATATCTGGTGATAAAAGAATTAAAAGACATCCTCTTCACATGCCCCATCCCTCTCCCAGCAGGGAGGGACCACCTAATCACTAGTTAATGAGGCAGAGTCAATTGGTCAGGCCCTGTTGGCTCCCTGCCACTCCACACTTCATTATCCTGCCATCAGCAGCTACTTGTGACAAAAGTAGGCAGATAGGAACCAGGGGTCAAGTGGGACTGGGCTTTGTGGAGTTTCATTAACTTATCCTGGACCATTTGCTAAAAGGGTGGTCAGGGAATTTGCTGCCACTCATTGCATGTATTACTGGTATTGAAGGATGCAGCATTATAGTTGCTGGTGGACCTTGACTATAGCATATGTTTACATGCACCTTTTTGCAAAGGGCATTATACTGTTACCTGTGTTTCCTCATCTGTTGAATACAACTTTTATCTTAGGTTATAGCTAGGCCTTAGCCTGAGCAAAAAGTGATTGTCCCTCTACTCTAAAATTTCATAAATCTGTTTCTTTCGGAATGGAATCAGTAAAACATTTTGCAGGCTCCATTTTAAATGGATTTTAGTCTGTAGAAAGCTTTGACCTGGGGAAGAGGTAAATAAATTTTGGAGCCCCTAGCAACTTCCTTATGAACATAAACTTCTTGCCCTTCAAACAAGATTGAAACTTGACATCTGCTCATGTGCTGTGTAGTATAATGTCAAGTCTGCCAGAACAACACTGATCCATATCCAACTTTTCTTCACATGTCAATGCACCAAGAGTAATACTGAAACAGAACCTGGGGGCATGAGAAAGTTTGTTTAATGTACTCCCCTGCTAGTTGTTCTTTCCTGGGAGTCACAAAGGCTCAGGGAGGAGAGATCAAGCTTCATTCAAGTTGCATTGTTGGAGGAGAATAGAGGACAAAATATGCTTAATCCCCTTAGTGCTGTGCAAAAACACCTGTGCTGATTTGCATAAGTTCATGTTACTGTAATCCCTGAGTTTGTATGGTGTCAAGGTGAACCATAATGGTGCTAAGCTCCATGTGTTTCTTGGCTGACTAAATGTTGTCTTAAGTTTGATTCCATCTCCTGAGAGCTCAAGCTACAAGCTAGGTGGCCTAAACCCTCAAGCATAAGAAAATCAAGTACATGTAACTGTATTAAACAACTATACATGAGGCATTATGAAACCCTGTTAACAGACTTGAGAGAAAAAAAAAACCTACTAGAGACATTAAAAAGTTTTTCAAATGGAAAATTGAATTAGTCTCTCAGTTTTCTACCTCGTACAAGCACAATAAATCAAGATAACTGATAAGTCAAAATGTGATTCAATGGAGTTGACCACCTGTCCACATAGACCATATTTTATTAGTTCCCCGAGTGGTGCTTTTGGGCAGTCTTGACTGACAGATAGTAAAACACCAACCTCCTTTTAACATTCCATTTCAAATTTTGTTTTACAGTTTTCTTGACCTTGCGTGCCTTTCTGTATCACTGGATTGCATTCCTGCGAAGAGTTGTGATTGTGTATTCATAGTGACTCCTTTCTCCTTATTACAGCCAGTGAAAAGGTTCCAAACATTCAGACACGACCTATTATCCGGGCACAGAAGACAGAAAACCTGCAGAAGTGCCTGTACTACTTAGAAGGGAGAGGGGTGCCCATTCAAGACATCACTGCTAAGGGTGAGTACTATGAATACTATCAATTCACACTCAACCGTATCTATTTATAGTTGCTACATGCGTAACAATATTATTGTCCATGGTAATCTTGAATCATAGTTTTGGTTACCTTGTTGAATGTGGTAGCAACCTAGTTTGATTAAAATTACGGACTTCCTTTTTTTAATATAGTTTGACCAACAAGCATTATTTTGCATCTCATGTATTTTTCAGTAATAATAGCAAAACCCATTATAATGTTGTTACATAACCCTGGAGAATGCTGCTTACTCAGTAGATTTTATGAGTTAAGTCAGTAGGGAGAAGTTCTAAATCTGCTAAATCAGAAACTGTGACATGATTTCCTCCTATTGGAACAGTTGGAACAATTTAGCAATGATACCATTGCACCTGCTGATACCTGGATGAAACTGCCGCCATGGTTTTCTGCATTCCTTTCTTTTGTCAACAGTTTAATTGATACCAAACCACTGGTCAGTTATCCTGATTGATCATGGACAGCCTGTATCTGAGCTTGTGTCTGTAAAAATACCAGACAATGCCACATGTTTGTTGTATGTTGCATTCCAGCCATGCCCTATCCATGACCCCTGGAACTTGGTTTTCTACAGTCAGATGTACATGTAGTTGTGCTATACTGAGTCACTGTTGTACAATTCAAGCTTTCCCTTGTAGTAAGCTACAATGTACATGTGACTGGTAACAGTACTGAGGGTAACACCTGCCAGGCTAGAGTGAAAATCTTTTACAGACTCACTAGGAGTCAGTGACTTGGTTCTTTCATACAGAGACTACATTTATACATGGTTGTAACATAACAATACAACCTTTCCTTAAAGAGACCCGCTTCAGAACAAGATTGTGTTGATTCTTGTACCAAAGAGAAAATGTCAACACTCAACCAACAATGGTATGAATGAAACACCTGAACCCTGAATCGTCTTCCAGCTAGTCCACAGTGATCCAGGTTTCCTAAGTCCGCCTGAAGGATTTGGCCCACACAAAAGGGGGCCATGCTGCCTGTTGTTTGTTACATTTACTCAAGACTTGGCTCCGTGTCCGTGTTAGGTCAGCTGGTTCTTCTGTTGGTGGGTTCCAGGATTGCAGTGGCACCAGTTAACCTGCTGATATACAAATATTTATGCTCTCTTTAATATCTAAGACTGTAGCAGTACTTTTTCATGAAGATTTGATGATACATGTATAGTACTTTTAATGTATGGCAGTTAATAATCTACTTTTGAATGGAGACAGACTTTGTGGGGGAACCTTGAAAATGCATTGAACTGTAATTTTTGTATACACTCAATGCCATGGTCACTGGCTGGGGCATTGTATGACTACAGGAATTACTAAACAACTTGAATCTCTAGCAAATACTATCATCTTGCTCTTTTTAAACAGATCTCGCTGAGGGACACCTAAAGGCCACCTTGACGATTGTCTCAAGACTAAAGGAGATTTTTGAGGTACTGGTATGTTGATACATTTTTCATGTATTTTAAATCTTCTGGATACTCAATTCAATACACTGCATTTGGTATGTCACATTCAACTGACTTATTGGAAACAAGTTTAAGCCTTTCTTGTGTTCGTCATTCCATCCTCTTTTCATTGACAAGTCCATGGGTACTGTGAAGAATCTGTGGATTGATATTGTATATTCCTCAGCTGTGATAACAACATTAAAAGTTGCCTTTTTTCTCACATTTGTACAGAGCACACAGGTGAATGGGACATCAGAGGCAGGGGAGGAGGTAGAGCAGACAGAGCCACGCCCTCACTCAGCACCATCCTCTGGTACAGAGAGGTTAGGGAACGGAGACGGCGAGGCAGACACAAGTCTGGTACGGCACACCTAGTTCACAGCTTCTGTGGATAGAAGTTAGAATAGCAACACATAACTTAGGCTAGATTAAGGATATACTGTTCTTTGTATTTTCTATTTCTTACTGCACAGTTGTATTACTTGAAAAGATATTGAGAACACACACCTGTTGTCCTTTGATGTATTTGCAATGCCCTCTAGTGACCAGTGTATGCATTGCAGTTTCTAACATAGTCAATAATACCTATTGGTACAATGTACATGTCTCAAGGAACAAGCAATTCTTGATTTGTTCCTTGTATGAAATAAAGTAGCTACATTCCTGTAAATAACAAAAATTTAATTGAAAATGAGGAAGTGCCTGATTCATCCACATGCCATAGCTATACCAATTGGTTCACTGCCAGCTTCTTTTATTCCATGGAAGCTATTACCAGTAGTAATATTGTATAGAATGAATGATTCAGTCATCCTGTCCTGTTATCCAGTCGGAGAGCTTGGAGCTGGAGCCAGGCAGGCTGTATCCAGGTGACGGTAAGAGAAATGTTCTTGCTCCAGTTGTTGCATCCATGCCATACGGGTGTAGACTCTGTGTTAGCAGACTTACATGTACCCCCAATGGCCCACTAACAACTTAAGTGTGTCCTGAACAGCCTCTAAATGTACTGACCTTATTTGGCTTGTTAACTTTTAAACATCCATGGTGTGTTTGGATATTTGAAAGGGTTCATAGTAGAGTTTGTATGTACCTGTGCCTGGTTGCAGAAGATGCTTCCATTGGTTTGAAGGTTTGCTCATATAGTCATAATCTGTGCACCCCCAATTGTGGTTTGACCATGTTGTTGTAAAATGTACATGTAGATGGATTTACAATACCTCTCTAACAAACTCTTGTTCCATGGTTCATGCATCCCCAAGGAATTCGTCCTTATCGTATCTACTGTAAGTTAACATGCTTTACTTCCACCTTGGTCTTTAAGAAATGGTTTAAGTTAAAACGTGTGTATAAAATGTTCTTTGTGATAAATTCAAGGGTTGAAAACCTCAGCGGTAGACCATAACTAGAAAGCAGAAGGTTTGGATCTGACTAAAGACTTATTTCTACCGTCCACAGACCCAAGTGAGGTTCGCCATGCCTACTACGATGACCGTGCAATATCCCACCAGAAGCCAGTGTACAGCGGAGGGGGGCTGCGGGAAGACCTACTGCCGGGGAGCATGGCTACTGATGATGAAGAGGAAGATATAAGTCAGAGTGAGATTCCTGTAAGTGTACAGGAGGAAAAGCTATTCACTGTTCACCAGTCACAGAAATGAGATGATAAATTTTTAAATGTATGCCTCACCAATCCAAATCAAATCGTCTCTCAATAAAGGCAATCTAAAGAAAACCACCTTCCACTGGTGGTAGATGGCTTTGAAGGTCATCAGCAAAATCTCTTCATCCCTGATTTAATTTGCTTGGATACCCGTACAATACAATGGAGCAGCATTAAAAGTTCCCAAGATGACAAACAAACCATAAAAATGTTACGTACCTGTATTTTTTTCAGATTTTTTTACAGGATACTTGAATAGCTAGTACATGTGCTCATAGATCCCTTTTGAAATACAAATTTGCATGTTTCACCAACATATTTCCCAACTTAAGCATGAGTCTTGCTGACCTGCAGCAAAATCACAGTATTAGGTCTCTATTGCTTACTGAGTGTTATAAAACTCAGACCCTTTGCTCACTCTTGGGGAGGGTGTGCCAACATGGTTGTAGGTATTACCCTACATCGGCCATTGTTTCAGCTTTCACTGAGCAAATATCTTAATCCGAGGCATGGGGTGCAGGCACGCTCGAGTTGTAGTGCTTTCCTTCTTGGGAATAATCTGCTTAGCTTAACTTTGGTATGCAAAAATGTTTACGATGTAATGTTAATCATGTAGTGAAGAGAGGAGTTCATTATGGTGCTATGGTGAAAAATAGGTTAGGGAGTACTGTAGGAAAAGGTAAACTTGTATTTTTTTGTTTCGTACTTTCTTTTAGTTATTGTCTGACACTCAGAACTTAGCTTGCATGACAAATCCATAGTATGTTTGGTAGGTCAGAATGTCCTGTCCTGTTTGCATGTCCAGTGGAGGATGTACTGGTAGATTAGTTCTGTACAACAGTCTGAGGGAAGGAGTGTTGTACATGTCCTGTTGTGTTACTACATGTTGTACTGGTACTCCACACTTCCAGCCCACGCTCCAGTCCACCACAGAGATGGGATCCCACGGTGTTTCCCAGCACGGCGCAGACAGCAGACGACAGATCATCGGCCTGACTCAGGCCATCAGGGAGAAGGCTCGCATCTCTGTGTCCACTGAAGTGCCCGGCTCCCCCAACAAGCTGCAGGCATGGGACACTCAGGCTATGTTCACTGTGAGTGCATGGGCATGCTGATGCATGGACTGGCCCTTCCTTCTGGTCCTTTTCCCTTGTCACTGTGATTTTCCTTGAGAAGCTCTAGACCTCCAGACCTTCCACTACCCCAAGCAAAAATCCCATCTACAGTATATATGTACGAGTATATTCATCCTTCCTGTGCATGGCACCCCACATGTAAACATACATATGCATGTGCATGAGTATTGACCATATGATTGCATAGATGTAAAACCATTACATGATTCACAAATTCTGAAGTGGAGTCATCTTAAATGCATGTTCTTTAGTTCTACCTGACTACTCAATGTCTAGTGATTTAGTGTGCTGATTTCAGTGCTATAATTGTAAATGAGCCCGTTCCTCCCCAGGCCCCGGCCCCAGTGCGTGACCAGGTGAGTCTGACTGTGGAGGAGAGGCTGAAGTCCCTACTGGACAGCCCCTACCTGGAGGAGATGGCTGGCAGTCCCAGGAAAAAGGCAAGTCAAGCTCCCACCTTGTTGCTACTCATATCTGTTGAAATTGAAATATGCGTGATAATTATTACTACTACATGTAGTAAACATGATGAGAGTAACACTAGCAAAATACACAGATATGCAAAGATTGAAAATTTCCCCATGCTTTCTGAAATATCCTATTTCTATAGTGTCCACATTATTCCTGCTGAGAGTATGAGACAGTCAGAATTTCCAGGAATTTCCTCTAAATGACATGTTGATAAGAAATTGTTGCAAATTTTGTTCTTCAAGGGTAACAAAAAACTCAAACGATACGATTTTCGGTAAGAGTATTCTACATTGCTATGTTAGGTTTGCAGTGTTTTCTAAATTTTCCAACTTTCCAATTTTTTCTATTTTACAAAATCCCTTATCTGTCAGGGTCCCTATTAGTGAGTGGTCTAACCTGCCTTTTCCATGCCTGTAGGGTTACCTGGAGGGTGAGCTGTTGCTCCCACCCCCTCCCAAAGGGCACAGTCCCTTCAGTTATCCAGATGGGATAGACAACCCTGGGCTGGAGGGGGGAGTGAACGGCCAGGTCAGGGGTCAAGACGAGGAGTTATCAGAACTGGGACTGGGCTCAGGTTATGTGGTAAGTTATTATCATGTAAGACACTGTCTTCAGTTGCCTTGCCTTTGACTCTAGTATATCCATCTGTGGCGTGACATTAAGGTTAATGTGCTCATTTAGAGATCAAGTCAAAGTGCACTGATCAGGAAAAAAATGCATTTTATTCATACTTTGTGAAGAAGACATTGTCATTCATAGCTGAAGTCAAACACAGGAAAGGCAGGAGATTTGTTCTAGAATTTAAGAACCTTGGAATGTATTGTATGGATAGTTAACATCCTTACTGTTTAAACCAGCCTCAAAACCATTCCTTTTCTGCATATTTTCAACCACCTGTTGGAGCCACAGTCAAAACACAGTCGATGACCCACAAACCAACAAGATCCAAGATAAGAGGCTGACAGACATATGACCTGACCAGTGATTTATGCCTTCCTTAAATTTAATGCCCACTTTCCTTTTCACCAGAACGTGTGTCTGCAGTCTTGCCTGACCAAAATAATAGGGCAGGTTTGACCTTTAAGAGCGTCAAAAAACAGATTGTAAGATCAGATTCAAGGTCACAGTCACCCAGACAATACTTGGTGACCTTCTGTGAGCCAAATCTGACCCACAGAGTTGAAGTTATGCCCGTGGTGGTCAGCTGTGGTCCTGTCAGGTTTCCCTGTGATGCCTGAGTGATAAGAGAGTGGTGCCACCCATGTTTGTGGAATACTTGTGCAGCCAGGTGATAGGGAAATGATTGTTTGCCTGGTGCGGGGTGTTTGCTCCCAGCCTGCACAGCCCAATGACACACCTGATCTGCATGGGTAATGGCCTTTTCTTTGTTCTGGGGTTAAGCAAATGGTAGGGGAATGTTCAGTCTTAATGTATGAACATGTGTGTAGCAAGCCTTAGGACGGTCTTGGATACAATGAAACCTTATGGAAGATTCTTGTGTGAAGTGACCCGAGGTATGACTGATTGTTCTTTTGTCAGTGCCATACCCTGGACACTCAATATTGAATTTAGTTCAATTTAAATGCTTCCATTGAATTATGCTGTCAGCCCCCCAAGTGTGTTAATGATCAACCCCATTGTGAGAGGGTTATCCAAACACCCTTAGGAGGGTTCATTCTAAAGCCGTTACTGTATGGGGACGTAGTTGACGCAAAAGCTTGGAGTTAATGTGTAAGTTACATTACTTTATAACATAACTGTACAGCTCTTTGTATTTCAAGGCATCATGATGATGTTTATATTGTAGAGAATACTGTAAAGGGCAAGTAGCTACACTTTCCTGTTTGACACAGGATTAAGGAAAGCCTCCTCGTTCTGCTCTGTTTACGCCATACCAAGTGTGAAGGTATTTATTCCCTGCCACCTTTATGGTGTAAATGGTTTAAACTTGCAGCATGTGCTACATTGTATATGGACCTGTTGCGTACAGAACACACAATGTTGGTGATATGTTTGTTGACATCTGCTCCTAATGTTTATTTTGGAACTGGATTTAGATGCTTTTGTCAGAATTGCCTTGCCTTTATTTACATAAGCGGAACAGATTGTTTGATGTGCCGTAGACCTTGCATGCCAAGCAGGTCCCTTTTAGTAAAATTGTTGGAGAGGAATCGTAGGAAACTTTGCAGAGGGGTTCTTTGATTCAACATCCCTCCTGTGGAACCTTGTTAGAGGGGAGTGGATGTCACATCTGTCACCAAATTGTAGGTCTGGAAGTTTCTGATATGGGAATCATGCAGACATTAGGCTCTCACCCTATAATTTGCTCCCAGCTTGACAGATCTTTCTTTTCTTTGCTTGATTGATTTTTCTCTGAACCTTTGTCCGTCCACAGCCCTCCCACCCAAACCAGAAGGGCCGTGTAGCCACCAGAGGTGAGGCAGTACTGAGAATGAGAGGTGCCGGCAGGACGGAGGCCTACAGTAACGGTCCCCACACACAGCAGCTGATGAACGGGTCTCCACACACCCGAGGCAGGCCTGTGGCAGGGGAACATTCACCTGGCAGGTCAGACTTAACACTAATGTTCCTGCCTTTTCATGGTTTATGTCCAGCATGATTTATTCTGGTAATTAGAGGTAATGACTCCAGATGATGATTTATTCTAACTTGTAATTACAAGCAGTAACTGTAGCAAAGATAAATGAATGTTTGAGTGTTCAGTAGGTGATTTCTTCAGCAGTATGTAACATCTAGACAAAAGGTTGAGGTTATTTATGAATGCAATAAAGATGAAATGGCTGCACCATTAGTAATGTTGTTTGTAAGTTTTTATCTACTCACTGAAGATTTTTGTGAGAGTAAAATCAATGTTCATGTTATTTTGTGATATGCCAAAATCAGACAATAATTTACAGAGTGATCAAACAAAGTCTGCACCATAGAAAAGTCAGTGACTCATAATCTTAAGGGTTAAAAGATTTCTAAATGGATAGCCACAATTTTGTGGGTAGACCTTGGCTGTAGGAACAGGTGGTTAGATTTCAGGAATGATCTGGTTATCACAACAATGGTGATAGTAGGGATAGGATAAAGGAGAACTATGCTCTCCATGTGATATGATATAACACTGCTATAACACATGTACATGTATCTTCTCATCAGACCTGCTACCCATAAGCCATCCCCAGGCCCCCCCGGGAGGCCATCAGGGCAGGACAGGAGTAAGAATCCCCACCCACAGGCACACCACCCCAGTAAAACACCACCAGCTGGCAAAAAGGTGACACCACACAACCATCATACTAGTGTTGTAAATTCTGTTAGCACTGTTTTGTTATTTATATATCTAGCTTACATCTAATATGTAGAATGCTGATAGATAAGATGTAGTTGAATGCATTACCTGACAATATACTTAACTAGCCAATCTTAACGACTATGTTTGATATGTTTTTTTTAGAAAACTAAATCAATGGTGTCCATTTGAAGATCTTTTTCTTCTAAACTGCTGTATGAATATGTATTTCTATGGAATTATTTACATCGGCAATGCCAGATTGGCTGATAGAATCATCTGAACAGTGTCTCCCACTTCCTGTATTTTCTGTAGGGTGTCCCTCCCCCAGCTTATGGACATCAGGACAGATCCCAAGTACCAGGTGGTGCCCCCCACCCAACCCCCCACCACAGTGTACCAGGCCAAGCTGTAGGGTCCAGACTGTACCAGCCCGGGGGTCACCACCACCCGCAGCAGAAGGTCCCTGCAGGGTCGTCCCACACCAGGCAGTTCTGGCTGCAGCAGCAGCAGGACCAGCAGCACCTGCAGTGGCAGAAACCTCACGACCTGGAGGAGGACTCCAGACAACCTCAACCTGAGCCCGCTGCACGACCTGTTCCTGCACCCAGGTCACGACCTCCGAATTCTACCCCCATCAGGGGTCAAACAGTGCCAAACTCATCCAACACCCCACAGAGGGTTGCCAAGACTTCCTCTAGTTCGTCTTACTCCTCCCCATCAACATTGTCTCAGCAGTCAGCCACGCCAACTAAACAAGGCAGGATACCCCCACCCTACCCTGCCACCTCCACACCAAGTAAGGCTGACTCCTTACCAGAGCATCATGGGTCCTTTGTTACAAACTTGACTTCAAAAATCAAAGCCAATACGACACAACATCTGCCTGAACCACCTGATGGAAGCACAGTCAACAGTAAGTCCACCCCAGGACAAGACCTGGATGTGAACTTCTCAGGTACTGGGACAATCAGTGAAACTTCCTCCCGTTCCAGCACCCCTCCCCTCCCCCCACTGTCTCCGTCCAACACCCCGCCCATCACACCCCCTCGGCTCCCCCATCCCCATGGTACGACCCACCCGCTCCATGAGCACCACCGTGCTGCCCTCCGCCCACGTCAGCCCCATCACACAGACAGACAGGAAAAGACTGAATCTGGCAGGAAAGGCAGGAAGGGGAGCACTCGTGTGGGCAGGAGCGCAAGCACACTGCAAGTTGGCTTCTCCATGTTGGGGAAGAAAAAGGGGTCAGGGAAGAACAGAGACTCATTAAGAGGTGAGACATACGGTATTGAAACATGCCACTTTTCTGTTTAATCAACCGTTTAATGTCATAGGACTTGAAAAAACCATATGGGCTGTAGATGTTTACCAGCTCACATGAATGTGTAAATCATGAGTGGATTTGTTGACTGCAGGAGGCTCAAGAGAAGATGACTCCCAGTCAGAGGAGGGAGAGTCCATGAGTCTGTCTGAGGCAGAACTGGTGAGGCAGCAGCTAACAGCACTGGAGGAGATGTACAGGTCAGTCCTACCTGTGCTGATGAAAACTTGTCCAACAAATTTGTGATGAACTAACTGAAAGCAGCATTTGTAAGTCTATTGCATGCACAGATTTTCACCTTTCATGCACTCCATAAAGATTCCAGTGATCTTTATTAGCCATGTTGTTATTAGTAACCTCGCACTTATTTCACCCTCAGGGAAATTCTGAGACTGCTCGGTGCAGACCAGACACCTCGTGGTCCGACAACACTCACAAGGAAACCAACATTAACAAAACTGAAGAGGGCAGGGAGTTCTCTGGGCAAGCCTGCATCTGTAGTGAAGCAGAGAGCAAAGGATATACGGTGAGTGCAAGAAATATCCACTTCCTGTAAAAAAATTGTAGAAAACTATCACCCAGCTGTGATCTTATTCATGTTCCAGAAACATTTACAGTCGGAAGAGGGCTAAAGGCTTCATGTATACTACATGTAACTACAATCCTTTTAAACCTACATTATGTAAATCTTTCCTCCACAGTTTTGCTTACTCAGCATTTCCAACGTGTATGTTTACCCAGGTCTGTAAACAGGAGATTTGCAAGGCTGGAGTCTCATGTGGTCACCCTGGCCAGAAGTGTAGCACACCTCTCCTCTGAGCTGAGGACACAAAACGCCCTGGTACAGGAGATAGAGCTGTTACGACAGGAGCTGGAGAATCTAAAGGAACAGCAGAAGATCCTACAGAGACAGCAGCTGGCACAGAGGAAACCACCTGACAGGCACCAAAGCCACTCCAGAACACCCCTCTACTCGTCTTGCCTAGTCAAAAACAGCGCACGATTAGCCAAGCTAACAAAGTAAGTTTGTGCCCCAGGCACCACAATGTACTGGAGGTGCTCAACAATAAAATTCCTTAAAACTGTACAGCAACCATAGTGTGTAAACTTATAGAGAGTACAGAAACAGAAGTGATATGAGATACTTTTACCTCATATAGTACATGTATATGAATATGATGTTTACAAAGCCTACCCACTACTTTCTTGATGTAAACAACTGAATTCTATTTTTGCAGATTCTTTGGTGCAGAGCCTCCTTTGCTGTCCATTTTCCTTAAGAAGATAGGATACGAGGTGGGTAAAGACATGCTGGCTCATTACTCTTCATTGACAATGATTTTAAGATTTTGCAACTTTTGTCATTTTCCTTGTGTTATTTCATACATGTATAACTTGCATACAGTATGTCCTTTCATTTCAACATTGTAAAGTCAAAGAGGTACCAGTACATGCATTTACTTTGTAGTAGAGTTCTATCCTTAGTTCTTCCTCATCAATAGAGTTGTAGTAATGCCTTGGCTGTCAAGCATCCAAAAATGATGAATTTCGGTTTACTTTCTGCAGAAATATGTGAAGAACTTTGAGGCGGAGAGTATTGGTATCCTGGAGCTGCCATACATGAACGAGGACAGACTGAAACAGATCGGTGTTCCCATGGGACCTCGGGTCCGGATCCTACAGGAGGCCAAGGCTGCACTGCTGTGAGCCAAAAGGACAAGTCTGATGTTCAACATCCATCAGGGATATCACTAGACTCCTTCCACTAGAGCTGTGGTAGACAAATATGGAGTTGGACCAGTGGTGCATCTCACCAACCCTTCACACTCTGACAGTTAGACACCAGTTGCTCTGTCAGTCTTTGGTTGATAGTGGAAAAGGAAATGCATATTAAATAGAAGATGCAAACATTGGAGGACCTGGTGTTTCAGGGTCTTCAGATGGATGTCTGATTCATTGCCTGACATACCAACATTTTCTACATTATATGTGAAAACAGATGCAGTACTACCAAGGGAAACAAACTGTTTTGCATGTTTCAACAAACAAACAAACAACTGTAGATGTACCATCCCTCGCTGGAACATCGGCTCCCGACCCTTATGCCTTGTTGCGGTGTGAGGGCCTAAATGTATCAATTTCCTACATGTTGTCCTGAGTAGGTGCAACATTCCTACTCTGTGACCACTATGGACAAAGAAACAATACTTATTGTAGCGGATTGCCAGCAAAATTGGTTTATTCCATTTTAACATGCATTTGTATAGAGATTGAATTGTTATTGTTGTTTTACACCAAGAATACCTCTGTATGTTAAGATCATTTGATGATCATGTATGAAATGTACACAAACTTTGTACATGTATCTAGAGGCTGACAATGAGCCTGAATTTACAACAAATAAGTCAGAAGACATGATGACTTTGATCTAGTTTTATATTGATATTTATTCTATAAGAAACATCCCAATTACTGTTACTAGATATTTTATACTTGTTTTTACAATGTTTCAAAAAGTATTTATAGAATTTTTTTACAAGCTCTGCAAAATGAATTTCTTCAGTGAAAAATTGATGCATAACATGCCAAAATAGTGTTATGTGAAAATTTTAGCATTCAAATGATGAGATACTGCTGTATTATGGCTTTGTTCATAATTAATTATTGTTTTTCATAAAATGTATATTTTTGTACAGATTGAAAAGCACAGCTTTATTTCATATTGCTGTAGACATCTGACTGTCCTCTTGTTTTAGGTCATTACGCACATACTGTTTCACCCCATGTGTCAAACTAATAAATATCCTGCGATCAGACTTGGTCTCCATGATGTTATTGATGCAGCCTTGACAAAATGCCCAACTTTAATCTGTTCATACCAAGCCCACTTGAAACCTGGAGGTGTCACTCCAGACTTGGGACAGATGAGTTGGACAGAGAAGTTGTGAACAGGCCCTGCAGCTGCTTGTACCTGTCCAGTTCTGAGGTGGACACAGAAGGTTCCAGAGTCTGGAGTGCCATGATGAAATCTTGCTCCCCTACTGTTACATCAGTCTGGTCAACTGGGAGGCCTGGGGAGAGATTACAGGAAACTACCTGCATAAGTAACATAAGTAGCCTACAATGAAATAGACCAATGCAGTACCGATCATTTAGAAATCTGAACATTTCATTCAACAAACAATGCTCATGCCCGTTTCTTACAGAATTAACAACTGAGTACATTGTAATGCATATACTACACTTGATAGGCTACAACTAAGCTGAACAATACAGTTAAAAATACTAGGTTTAAAGGTGGCTGGGTGCATACCTGCTTCCAGCTGCTCTATCTTCCTCCTGATGGCATTAAGCATGGCATCGGAGCAGAGTGCATAGAAGTCTGCTCCTGTCATGTTGTAGGGACAGTTGTCTACAACCTTCTCAAGCTGGGTGTCAGCAGCAAGTTGGAACCTGTATATATGACAAAGTATTATCCACTTATGGCTCACAGTAAACTATGTTTCCAAGTAAAGTAAACTACTGTATTGTGATTTTGTTCTATTATTGCAGTCAATTTTCAACAATTATAGCAAATATGAACAGGATTATAGTTGAGAAGCCAGGGAAAAAGCTTGTACTCACTTCCTTGTGAGAGCCTGGAGAATTTTGAGCTGTGACGGTCGGTCCTCACTCACACCCAAGAACAACAGCTTGTCAAACCTGGTGGGTTCAGAACAGTTCAATATTCCAGACCATTGGTAAAATCAAATTCTGATGTTTGTTCAGTTCCCTTCTCTTGTACTTTATTTTACTGAATGCTTGCATATAAGTTTGATACTACATGAGACTTTCCATACTTTTATAGACAACAAAAGTGCAAGGTCTTTGGCAACTACCAACACAATGTATGTACAAAGGTCTATTACTAAACATGAGAAATACGGTACCTTCCTGGCCTGAGCAGTGCAGGGTCCAGCAGGTCTGGCCTGTTGGTGGCTCCGATCACAAACACCTCAGCAGCAGAGTGGAGCCCATCCAGCTCAGCCAGCAGCTGAGAAACAACCCTGGCAGGCAGGGAAGGAGGGTTTGGACATGACCTTGGTGCTGAAAGGGTGTCTGCTGTTCTGACATTCCCCCACTTTTCAGACTGTGCTTGTGGGCATGGCATTTCTAACGTTCTAATGGCCTTCAAATTCTTTACATTAGAGGTTGTAGCTGATACATGTAAATAATATCAGGTTGAACTAACCAGTTTGGCTAACGAGTTCGGACAATTAAAGAGCTGGATGAAAAGGTTGGTGGCCATTTTTATTTTACACTTTACAAAGAATCTTTCTTTCTGTCAAGTTTCTTGTGCCACTCTAAAAGCAAAGTCTACTGGAAAGTGGGTTGACTGACCTGTCCATGACCCCTCCTGAGTCCCCACTCCTGCCCCTGTTGGGAGCGAGAGAGTCCAGCTCATCAAAAAAGATCACACAGGGCGCTGCACTTCTGGCACGGGAGAACACTGAAAACAACAGACAACATAGTTAAGACAGTGTCAGAACATACACAGTAGACATAAATGTAATCATACATTTAATCAATTCATCTTCCATAGATTCCAGCTTCTCCTCCATTCTATTCACAAATGAAGACATAATTCATTAACAAGAGAAACAGTTACCTTCTCTGACATTCTCCTCACTCTGCCCTACATACATGTTGATCAGCTCTGGACCCTTCACACTGGGAATACAGACATGCATTATGTGTGATATGTTGTAATACATGTAGTGACTGCTCTGACTCCTTTTAGCCATATAATTAAAATTTTCTTTGTGAACAAACCATGACAAGTGAATGGCTTGAGTATGAATTAAAATATCAACATTAGGGATTTGTGAAGGTCAGCCTGACCTGACCAGCAGTACCTGAGGAAGTTGAGTGAACACTCTGTAGCCACAGCTTTAGCCAGCAGGGTCTTCCCTGTGCCTGGAGGTCCATACAGCAGAACACCTGAAGCAGCAAACAATCTAGATTTATCTTATATTAGCTACTTTCAAAACAAAATCGTAGCCTTAGTTTGATTAACATTATTTACTTCACTCAAACAGTCCAATCACAACTACCATAGTCTTTTATTCATTAAGGTACATGTAGGAACATTTTGTTGACCTTTACCCTCCCATAAGGCTGATGGAGCTATCCATTCTAATAAAAATGATACATGCACAGCTGTGAAAAATGCACCTGATCTCCTCATGCCAGCTGCAAACAGCTGCGGGTGCTGCAGAGGCAGCTGGATGGTGTCCAGGATCTCTGCCCGCACCTGGGCCAGCCCGCCTACATCCTCCCAGCTCACGTTGGGGATCTAGGATAGAGTTGTGTATAATATATGTACAGCTTATCCTTCAGAAACATAGCCTGCTACTGTAGCTACAGTTCTGGTCTATATTATAGTGATACTGTATTAGCACAACTATATCCTCTTAATAGATGGGATTTTGTTTATTGCCAGTTTAATTTTTCTTTTACAATAAAGATTTCAGTAATGGCAATGTTTAGTACACATACAAGTATCTTTGCAAGCATAACTGAAATATGAGAACATTTAAAGAGCTGTTGCAATTTTAACCTTTGGTGCCCCAATGGCGTCTGAGTGAGCTGCCTGCAGGTGGTCCAGGGCCTTCTCAAAGTCCACCTGTTTCACCTCCACCCCAGCTGCTACCAGGTCCACCTGCTCCTGTTCACTCAACCTGCCATCTGGACAGCTGCACAAAGACATACAAAATGTGTTTCTTCCTACAAAGTTTGAAGATATCATAGGCCTAGGCCAGAGGAAAACTACTCATGTTAATGTTTCACAACATGGGTAGTATCAGGAGCTATGCACTCATGACTTGGCCTAGTTTCTGTGCTGAATGTCAGATGAGATAATGTTTTCAGGTATTTACCATGAACCTAGAATCCTCCTGTGAGCTTTTCTTGCTGCACAGGACAGGAGACTGCAGAGATCACCAAGAACCATTCCCTGGACAGAAAGGGACATGTTTAAGTATTACTACTGTAACATATCATAAGGAAATAAGATACTGCTGCCTAAAATTAAAAACTGGCCAAACACCATTATTAATGACAAACCACATGAGATCATATTAAATTATGATATTGCACATATTCCCCATTTATTTAATCTATATGAATGTATTAAAGACATATGACAATTCACAGGAGGCACGGATTGTCAGATATTTTGTTATCAAAAATAACAATAAGTACTTACAGCTGATCTGGCAGCAATCTTGTCTATGGAGACATCTACAAATGAATAGTATAAGAAAACGCTTCCCTTAGTGAAATGAAGAAAGTATTACAATCAGTGTATGTCCCAAAGTTCAGGGTATGTCTAACAAAACTGCCAGGAATCCCTGCTTACCTGAACTGAGGGGTACATCCTGACAGAGTGTCTTCAACATCATCACACGGTCTCTTTTACTGGGGGTCTGAAAGACAGCATTGTACATTTGTTATGTTGGGTTACCAGTGTTCAAGTACAAGTTTGCCAGTCATGTGTTTGAGATTAACCACGTTTTATCGATGCAAAGATGCAAAGGACATATTTGCTAATAAATGGGAGTCAAATACACACCTTGATGTCCACATGATGAAGAAATGCTCCCCTCACATCACTTGTGACATCCTTAGCAGCTGCACTGCTGGCAACCACTATTACTGGGTACTCACTGTAGACACACAGACAGACATGGTCTGGGCATGTAATAATTTTAGATACACATAGATTCTAGGGAAAAGAAACTTTCTCTCATCACATACAGACAGTTTTCACCAATACTTTGACTTGGATGTTATGGATCCAATGTAACTAGCCACCCCTGTACATGTACATGTGCCTGCAAGACTAGTGACAACAGGAATGAGAATCAATGGTGATTTCCTTGTTTATCAACTGTAAAGTCAGCATGTTGTACTGTTTCCTTACCTGGTTTCATGTCTGAGTCCTATTAAAGCTTCATGCAGCGTGGCAGCCACCCGAGGGTCTGATAGATAGCACAGAAAATAGTTGTTAAAACTGACAAGTGCCAAGAAACTGTTGATAACAGCAAACAAAAAGTTTCTGGCTCAGCACAACATCAAACACACTTTTGTGGTGGTGGAGTTACAAAATGTATGTTGCTTTCCTGTAGACATGTTATTTTGTCTTATTTTTCTTTGCTATCCCAGGTGACTGGAACCAGCAAGCACAGAATAACAGTTATTATCACTGTAAAAGAGATTAATACAATAGAGTGTGTCTCACCCTCCTCATGTCCATCCCTGTCCCTTCCCAGAACCCCCAGGTTCCTGAGATGTAGGATACAGGGGGCACAGCTCAGGGCCTTCTGGAACAGGCTGTTCACCCTGGTCTCTGTAGCAGCAGAACTCTCACCACACAGGTTATAACAGTTCACCTTGGAAACAGATAGAAACAAATGGGACTACATGTACATTTTTCTATATCCTAAATCTAACAAGGGCACCTTGCAGAATATAACCTGCTGGTAATATCATACATTTACCAACTACTAGTACCAAATATTCTTTAACAGTTACAGAATGATGAGTATACATCACTATTGCACCCAGCAGTCATAATGTGGTACTAGACCCATCACTTCAAATACTACAAATATGTTATACTACACATGTTATACTAGTCATATATAATTATTTTGATCATCCCTGTAATAGTCCTTAACATCTGTCTCAGATGGCCTGAGATTCGTCAGCTGTTCCCACCTGTAACAGGTGCGTGTTGAGTCTCCTCCTGACAGCTCGGATGACTGTAGACTTGCCCACACCCTGAGGTCCAGTCAGCAGGACAGAGGACTTCACTGCCTCGGGTGGGCTGCAACAGAAAACTGTTCACTGATCTTATCTCCATAATTATTATTATTATTAGTTCAGATTTTGGACTGAAATATGATGGAATTCACAGTTAGACTGACAAATTTGAGCTTGTGGTATTATCCTGGCAAGCTCTGTCACCTCTATTTACCATGATGATGTCTTACTTTAGATGGCAAGGTTTACTTCTTATCTGTCCAACAACCTGAGAGCTGACCCATAATTAGGTAAAGCAGGCAGACAGAGTTATAAGTGCATATCTCACCTATGTGTCAGGTATGGGACAATGATGTCACACAGCCTATCCACATACTGGTCCAGGCCTGGTAGGATGGACACTGGTCGACAAGGAGGATGGGGTGTCAGATGTGAAGGTGTCAGCTGATGCAGGGATGTAGCTGTTCACCAGCCCTTCCTGGAAAAAACAACAACAAACATTTGTACCATGGCAGTGTAAAAACTACTGGTAGTTTAACATTAAAATAGTGCAAAATGTGTAGTTTGCAATAACCGTGATACAGGTATATTTTACTAAAACAAAGAGATTTCAGATACGTCAAAACTGATGGAATAAATCAGCCACTGTAGGAGTTAAAGTACATTTGTATGACACATAAAGGACCCACCTGGTATAAGTCAGTATGCTTCAGATCAACCAGATAGGATGGAACCTCCTGACATGTGGGTGACACCTGGGTCACCTTAAAATATACAAATGGACACCTGGAGATAAAGAGGCAGGATTAATGAAGCTATACATAAAGATTGTGTAATTTTGTCATATAAAAGATATATACTAAGGCTTTTGATAATGTAAAATATAATAAGGCAGGAAGTAAGAGTGGAGTGTGTACCTCATCATCTCACCATCTACCATCTCCTGGAAGAACTCAGAATCATCTGTAAGGAATCAAAACATTGAGGTTAAATTACAGGAAAGGCTCTCAATAAAAATAAAGCAAACCACTAAGAATGCCCATATTTCTCCTATATTTACCTTTAGTGAAACACAAAATATGTCTCCAAGTGTGATGACTCTGAAACACAAAAAACAGGCAAAAAGGGTAAGTAAATAAAACAATGACTAAATTATAACACATTACTGAATATTTTGAAGTTAAAAGTCATAATATGAAACAAAATCTACTGGTGGATATAATCTGCAAAGAGTTGTTGAAGATTACATGACAAAACATATTGAGCTCATACCTGGTAGTAGAGAAGTACTGTTTGAGTGCTGAGTCAAAGTGACAGGTGGGTGTGTAGGCAGGTGATGTTACCATGGTGATGCACACCTGGCTGGCATAAGGTGGCTGACAGGACCTGCTGGGACTCTGGGACTGGACAGGGCCAGGACTGAGTGGCAACAGTGGCTGGAAGGTAAAATGAGTGTATATGTATCAGCCATGTGCATATTACTGCAACTCTACCTCTCTCATCACTTAGTATATAAATAATGATACATAATCACTTACATACACAGATTATAGACAAATACTGGTAGTAGAAGAATGTAGAATCCGAATAAGAATAGTTGGCCGTTACTTTCTATCCTCACCTCTATTGTACACATACAACTGCCAGGTGATTTGATGGGAGGCAGGTTCTGAAGATTGAACCACAGCTGGGGGGAGACATGCAGGACATCATCTGACACCATGTGTGGACTGCCTGCCTCAACACCACACAGCTGAACCAGACACACTCTTGGAACAAGCTTCCTCACTGGACTACCTGATGGCAGCAGGTCTTCTGCAGACTTTTCCTTAAGGTCAGGTATCGTGTGAGAGACTTCCTCTTCTTGAGGTGTGGTGGTTTCACTTGGAACAACAACAGTCTCATTTGGTACATTGACAGATAAGATTTCCCTATCCTGAGACTGATCTTCATTGTCAGACGCAATGGAGATTTTGACCCAGGAACCACTGAAGACTTTCAACCTCTGCAGTGTCATAAGACTGACAAACACCTGGTGCTCAGCTGCACACCTGACCCCTGTATCTGTCTCCCCAGCTGCATTTAACTGCTGCTGTAGTACCCTTACTTTCATCATCATGTTGGAACTCTTCACATATTGTGAACTGTGTAGTGAAGACAAAAACTTCTCTGCATTTTCCTTAGTGAGGCTTTCTTGTGGCAGCAGTGACAATGTGTACTCCATGGTCTGTAGGCAGCTGGCAAAGTCAGATACAACAGCTATTGGAGGAGACAACCTATCTCTGTCAGCCTCAGGTGAGTTATCTTCACTTCCTTCATCCATCAAAGTGACAATAACAGACGTATTGACAGTGACAACTCCCTGCAGCCCAGGCTCACATTCCAGTACTGTCATGTCAAAATAATGCTGCAGGACAGTGTCCGGATCCCCCAGCATCGGCAGCACGGGGGCCAGCATCACGTCTCCTTTCCTGGCCAACAGCTTTTGTTGGCAGACCGCAACGAGGAGACCGGTCCCGAACATCACTCCATTTGCCCAGTCGTAACATTGCTGCTTCCGTGTCCCGATAACAAGTCTACTGAGAGGAAAAGCTTTCACAAGGCGAAAAGTAACCTTCTGTTCGTGTCTGAAGCCATAATGTCGGAAGAACATCTCCTCAGCAAACAAAGTTATGATATCAGCTGTGCCATCGTCCCCGCCCACTTTGGTAGGTTCAGAGTCGAGGGGGAGGGGCGAAACGCAGGCGAACAGATCTTTCCTCCTGTCAGAATCGTTTGGCGCCCTCGTCAATGAAATGACAGACACAGCATCTTCTATGTTACATCCTATAACATTTGCATCTTGATCCGTGATTCCTAGGTGCAAGGGGTGGTGACCAGGAGGAAAAGAAAACGTCCGCAAAATTCCATGTCGCCTGGGCACCGCCATCTTTAACTTCGTGACCTGCTGGGCCAATCCACTGGAAAATGGGTTAGCTTTGATACTAGTAAATCGACAGTTATCATATGCTAAGACAGAGAACAGCAATTAAGATTGAAACATACTTAAATACATAAATGCTTTAGTTTTCTTAATTATTTTGCTTACAATATTGACGTACTTTTGCTATCACGTTAAGAATTTGTGTGGTAATTTTCTCCCATTTTATGAGTCGACTATTCCATTCCCACTATGCTTTGCAGAGTGAAAACAACTGTCGGCTGCACGTTGTCAGTGGGTTGTTGTGATCATAATTTGTCCGTTATCAACATTTTGTGGCCCTTCAGGACCGCTGTAGTTTTGTGAACTTTCATAGGTATCAGGTTGACTTCCAGGAAGCAGCACAATGAAGTAAGACTTTGCTATTTTCAAGATATCATGTTTCTGACAGCTTTCCCAGAACTTATATTATTCAATGAACGTGGCTATATACACTCCCGGAGTGTATATAAAATCTATTTGTCTTTTATATACACTCCCGGAGTGTATATAAAATCTATTTGTCTTTTATATACACTCCCGGAGTGTATATAAAATCTATTTGTCTTTTATATACACTCCGGGAGTGTATATAAAATCTATTTGTCTTTTATATACACTCCCGGTGTGTATATAAGATCTATTTGTCTTTTATATACACTCCCGGAAAGTTGATAGGGCATTCGAATGATCTGTCGCCGGTGCGAAGACCGTGCGATCGGCTGTGTTATCCAGAGTCACCAAAGGGACCGGGGCGAACCCCGGGTTGGTCTTGGTCTGATAAATGCACGCCAGACCGTGAGGTCGGCGCTTCTTCCGCATGTATTAGCAATAGAATTACCACAGTTATCCATGTAGGATGTGACGATCAAAGGAACCACAACTGATTTAATGAGCCATTCGCAGTTTCACTGAGACAGTTTAAACTTGCACGTGCATGGCTTAAACTTTGAGACAAGCCTATGACTACTGGCAGGATCAACCAGGTAGCGAGGACGCCAGGGGCGCGCGACCGGTCTCGCCGCCGCCGCCGGGAGCGGAGGGTCCCGGGCCCCGCGCAAGC